CCCCCCCTCGGCTGGCGGCGGTGGCTCGGCTGCCTTCCCCGAGCTGCCTGTTCCAAGGTTAATCATTTCCTCTGGGCTTCCATGCCTCCAGTTGTTCGCTTCACTTCTAGCGGTCACTTTAGCTGTAGCTTCCGTCTCCTGGCTCCAGAGCAGGATAGTTTCTTCCCGGGAAGGTTGCATCTGCTGAAGTCTCTCGTGAGCCACGTCTCTCTCTCGCCAGCCAGCCCGTCCTCTCTGCACTCAGTTGATCCCACGGGTCTTCTCTGCACCTTCTCCAACTGCTCAGCGTCCTTTGCTGGCTTCGCACGGGGTTTTTCTGTGCTGCTTCTATTGCCGCTTTGTGCTGAGACGGGGATCGGGCTCCCACCGGCTGTCCCAGCTGCTCTGAGCCGTGCCTGGGGGTTTGCATCTCCACGGAGCAAGCTGGGTAATGCTGTGCCCTGTCACCCTGTCCCTCCCCGGCTGCAGGAGGACAACCACAGCTACTACGTGTCGCGGATCTACGGGCCGGGGGACGCCCGCTTGAGGGGGCTGTGGGTCGACATGGCAGCGGCCAACAGGAGCCAAGTGAAGATCCACGGGATCCTCTCCAACACGCACCGGCAGGCCTCGGTGAGCCCGCGGGGCTGTTCTGCAGCCGGGGGTGTCCGCCGGGTCTCCTCTCCCAGCAGGGATTTCCCCGACGGTGGCACCTCGCCCGGGGCAGCAGCAGCCCCTCCACGTCGCTGTGACAGCCTGGTGGAGACCAAGGCTTGGGAAGCGTTTGGTGTCCCCTAGCCCCAGTCCAGGGCTGAAGGGGATGAGCCGTGGGGACCGGGCACCCTCAGGACCCTCGCTCCCATCCCTCTCCCACCCCTCCATGCACCGGCCCCGGGAGCTTGCTCCAAGCCAGGGCAGAGCCGGTGCCGGTGGGCACGGACCCGTCCCCCCGCATCCCCAGCAGGTATTTTTCCAAGGGCTGAGCGCAGTTCTCACCCCGTCTCCCTCCCGCAGAGAATCGTCCTCTCCTTTGACTTCCCATTCTACGGCCACCTCCTGCGGCAGGTCACGATAGCGACGGGTGGTAAGTCGGGATGGGACAGGGTTCCCGTGCTCAGCC